CAGTCAGCTGAAGTGGCTGCAGTACTGCACCCTAACCACTGCGCCACCTCGGCTCTTCAAAACCAAGATCAAAGCTTCATATATATATTTTTTTCATCAGAAGCACAAATTCCAGAAGGGATTTCCCAACGATAACCTATTTTCCTCTTTAAATAAAGCAATCAAGTTAACCATCCCTGCTTCCTTGCTATGGAAATAACGTGCGTTTCTGTTTGCACCTGGTAATCTTTATAAACTGTCACCATTTTTTATATACAAAGTTTATTATATTCTTTCAAATTCTCCCAGTCCGCCCATCTTAAAAGCTGGCTGGGGAATTCTGGGAGTTGAAGTCCACCCATCTTAAAGCAGCCTACATTGAGAAAGACCATGCTAAGTAACTAAGAGGCTTTGTATCTCTCTGTTACAAACAGAAGTCTTCTGCTGAAGCCATCCCATGTCCATGCCTCTAATAAGAGGTCTCCTCAGACAATACCTTGGCCTGCATTGCGAACTTGCAGGTCATGAATTCATCTCCCACACCTTGGACCAGCTCCCTCAGCTTGTTCTGGACATCCTGGAACAAGAAGAAGAAGAAGATAAGTAGGAACACATTGGTGTTTAGCAACAGCTATCTCCTTTCGCAATCCTGGAGTTTTGCATCTGTCAGCACAACGTGTCAACATTTTGTGAAGGAACTGATCTCTCACCTTTGACTCAAAGGCCACCTCTGGATTCTATGTGTAGAATCCAGAGGTGGCCTTTGGAGCTGTGGTAGTTGGAGACACTAGTAATTGGGTTGGTCCCTTGAGAAATTAATTGGAAACATGAAGTTTCCATGGATTGAGTCAACCTCTGTCATCTAGTTCATGGCTGTTGGGATGACCCTGGGTAAAATCAGGGGCTACTCAAAGCGAGGTTGAGCACCACAAACTTGGTTTGTCTCCTTCACTGGATGTACACGCAACCGAGCGACTAGAAAAATTAGTAGTTGACTCAAGATCTGATAAAGGATCCTAGCCCAGCTAGGAAAGCCATGCTGTGGACAATGTTATGGTAGCTATCTAACTAGTAGGAGGCGTGGCACAACAAAACCGCGCTCGACTAAGCCGCGCCCGATTAAACCGCGTCGCTGACGTCATCAACAGGGCGACAACAGCAACCGCGAAGAAAGAAGGCCGCTTTAAATAGCACTTTGAAGGCAATCCGATTCAACTTAAGGTGAGGGTTAAGTTTAGGGTTAGGTTTAGGGTTAGGTTTAGGGTTAGGTT